ATGAGACGGAGTCTCGCTCTGTCGCCCAGGCTGGAGTGGCAGTGGGCTAGACCTCAGCTCACTGCAAAGCTCTGCCTCCCCGGGTTTACGCCATTCTCCGTGCTCTCAGCTCCCCGAGTGGGGAACGGACCACAGGTGCCTGCCACCATGCCCGGCTAAATACTTTTCTCTTTGGGTATGATTTTAATAGGACGGCGGTATTCACACCGGTGTTAGCCCAGCGATGTCCTCGATCTCCTGACATCGGTGATCCGCCGTCTCGCCTCGCAAATGCTGGAGCTCAGCGCGTGAGCCACCGCCGCCCGGCCATATACTTTTGAGATACATAACGTGGAATCAACTAGTATAAGAAAGTTATCAGATTCTAAGACTTCATAAATGTCTGAAACCTCTATATTAATATTTACTCCATGCAAAATATAAACTCACTCAGACAGAAGCATTACATATCCTATTTTTACATGCTTCCAATGGCAAATTTAGTTCTCTCCTCCCCTCCTCTTAACAACAATTCCCTTTAACATTGCAAAATACATCTATCTTTTTATAAGGGAGAAGAAACAGAAATCCCTTGTTGAGATATATCACAGGAAATCCCCAAACACGTTAATTGCGGGTCCAACAAGCATTATCAATTTAAAGAACGTGCTAGAATCATTATGGAACACGTTAGTCAAAACGTCAAAAGGTTTACAGCCTATTAGATTAATGGATCCCAGGTATCCTGAACTACCAAATACTTAATTCTCATGTTCAAGTAAAATGACATATTCAAAGAGAAATGCAGAAAGTTAGCGATAGTTTCAATAATCTTAGATCTGCACGGCGCGCGATGGGTCCAGGTGTAGCCAGGATGGTCTCGATCTCCTGAACTCGTGATCCGCCCGTCTCGGCCTCCCAAAGTGCTGGGATTACAGGCTTGAGCCACCGCGCCCAGCCTGAAGAGGCATTTCTTAAACACAAAAGAAAAAAATGCTAATCATTGGAGCTGACTAAAAACTCGTTTCTGGGTGTGGAGGCTGTGGCAGGGCCGGTTTGTAGATCCTGGGCTCCGAGCGTCCTCTGCGGTTTGGTCTCTGGTGATGTCTGGGAGGCCAACACAGCAACAGGCATGAGGGCCCTTCACACCTGGGCTTCGTGCTCATCTCACTGATGTTTATTTCAAGTCGTCCAGCTTCAGTTTGCAGGATTTCTGGGCAAAGGGCAGTTTTGTTCTTCATGATTCCAATAAGAAGGGTGGGAGAAAATTGAAAGTGTTAATTTGGAGAGTTGCAGCAAGATACTGAAGGAAACTAGAAACATCAGGAACCAGTCCAGTTTATAGACATCAATAGATAACAAAACCCCAAAGAAATTAAACAGGAGGAGAATCTAATATGGGGCACACAATATGGCTTTCTACTGAAATATATGTTCTCTCTACATCACCTCTCTTTCTACTAAAAATAATCTCAGTAAGATGATGATGATGATTATCATTATTACTATTATTATTGAGATGGAGTTTCACGCTGTCGCTCAAGGCTAGAGTGTAGTGGAACGATCTCGGCTCACTGAAACCTCTGCCTCCCGGGTTTAAGTGATTCTCCTGCCTCAACCTCCTGAGTAGCTGGGGTTACAGGCACGCACCACCACGGCCAGCTAATGTTTGTATTTTTATTATTTTTTTAAGTAGAGACAGGGTTTTGACATGTTGACCAGGCTGGTCTTGAACTCCTGACCTCACAGGATCCACCCACCTTGGCCTCCCAAAGTGGCTCACTCAGAGAAGCTTAATCATCCCCTCATATTTTACAGTGCTCCTACGCAAATTTAGTTGATCAAATAAGCCCAATTTATTTAATATCTTTTTATTTTATTTAACAAAATTTTCCCTTTAACATTGGCAAAATAATCTATCTTTTTATAAGGAGAGAAAAGAATCCTTTTGAGATATTCCAGGGAAATCCCAAACGTTAATTCGGGGTCAAAAAGACTTAATTTAGAGTGTGATTTTGGAAAGTTGTCAAAACGTCAAAAGGTTTAAAGCACTTGATTAAATGGAATCCCAGGTCATCATGAAATAATACTTAATTCTCATGTAATCAAAGTAACAATGAAATATTCAAAGAGAAATGCAGAAAGTTAGATAGTTTAAAATAATCTTAGATCTGGCCGGGCGCGATGGGTCACGCCTGTAATTCCAGCCCTTTGAGAGGCCAACGCCAGCAGATGGCTTGAGCCCAGGAGTTCGAGACCAGCCTGGGCAACGTGGTAAAACCCCGTCTCTACAAAAACTACAAAAATTAGCCAGGCATGGTGGCGCATGCCTGTAATCTCAGCCACTCAGGAAGCTGAGATAGGAGGATCCCTTGAGCCCAGGGAGATTCATGCCGCAGTGAGCTGCGATCGCACCACTATACTCCAGCCTGAGCAACAACAAAGTATAAATACACACACACATTTTATATATATATATACACATAATACATCTATGTATTATATACACACACACACTCTGTGTGTGTGTGTGTATGTGTGTGTGTGTGTGTATATATATATATATATTTTTTTAAATTAGCTGGGTATGGTGGTGCTCGCCTGTCTCCCAGCTACTCAGGAGGCTGAGGAGTCGAGGCTGCGATGAACTATGATTGTATCACTGCACTCTAGCCTGGGTAACAGAGTGAGACCCTGTCTCAAAAAAAAAAAAAGAACTAGTTCACACCCATGTTTCCTGCTGCTGCCCCAAATTACCGCTCTCCTTGAGCAGCCCCTGAAGGTGGAGACCAGGCACCTGCTGGAGCAGGAATTCTTCCTTCACTGGCTTCTGTTGGGGCACCGGTATCCTGCAGCTGTGGCATCCACAGGGAGTAAGGCCAGCCACGGAGATCCTTTCATGTCATCAAGCTGCAGGGGAGGAAAAGTGACATCAGACAGATTAACAGGAGAAAACCCATTTTAATGATATGTCCACAAATGGGAGTCCCACACGAAGATGAAACTGGGGGAAGGGGCCAGATGGCAGAGGCATCTGTGTCATCCTGAGCTGCAGGAAGATACGGGGGCGTGGGGCTGCTGCAGGCTGGTGTGGACCAGCTGTAGCAGGGGAGTTGCCTGGTGAATGAAGGTGCTCGTCATGCGGACATGTGTCTCTCAGGTGATCAGAGTTGCCTGGAGCCGCTCTCCTCCCGACATAGCGACCTTTATGAATGGAAATGTCTTTCATTTCTCTCCCAGACGGGCAGCTGGGCAGAGCCACTCCTGTGTCTGCAGTTTCTCAAAATAATCGATATGCCCAAGGCATGTTTGGGGTGGCACATTCTGCCCCCTCCAGCCATGTTTTGGGGTGGTGTGGTGTGTCCTGAGCCCCAACGCAGGTGTCAGGGCTGTGGAGGGGACGTCACTAGGGGGCCTCAGTGGGCCTCTACAGGCCTTGGAGATGGAATCAGCTCCCCGCAAGGCCTCAGGACAGACCTGGCTGGGGAGTGCAGGGAGGCGTCCCTGGTGTGAGGACAACATGGGGCTGCCTCTTCCAGCCGCTCTGAGGGTTCTCAGAGAAAAATGAAGTTTTCTTTTGTAAGAGAAACTTATCTCTGCTTTCCCTGGCTTCTCAGATGCCACCATGCCAGATTTTGGGGTAGTGGTATGTCCTGACCCCAGTCAGTGGCCGGCCCACCTGCCTCCATGCCACGGGCTCTTTGGGGAGGCCACTGCTGTGTCCCCACTGTGAGCCCGATTTGAGCTGCCTGTGGGACCTGAGAACCCCCAATGGGTGCCACTGACAGACTTGAGGTGCCCAGGTGAGGCTGGTGCAGCCCCTCTGCCCTGCCAGCCCGGGCACAGGCACCTGGGCATTGCCACTCCTACCCTCCTATCAGCCCAGATGCGGGGCCTGAGCCAGCAGGGCTCCCACCCAGCCCAGGGTGTATCCCTCTGCCAGGGGTGCTGCACTGGACAGGAAGGACCCACCTGTTTCCCTGCCCAGTACCAGCTGCCAGGCCCCCCGTGGCTCAGGGCGCCTGTGAGGAGGGGTGGGGGCTCTAATAGGTCGCCTGCTGCTCCGAGGTGTCAGGCAGGGTGGGGATGGCACCTGGGGAAGCCTGGGCTGAGGGGGCAGGCTGCCCCTCCTGCAGGAGAAGTGCCATGTTTCACTGGGTCCTTTGGAGAGGGCAGGGAAGCTCCCGCTCGCCTGTACTGCACCATTTCCTGTGATCTTAGCAATGACTTCCTGGCTCCATTTTCTCCACCAGCCTGAACACGTAAGCCAGACCTGCAGCTTTCTCTTCCACGGCCTCCTGGCCTCAGGGTCCACCTGGCTGGTGCCCACCGGCCGGACCGGGGCCTGGTTGTTTGGGGGACAGGGGAGCAGCCTTGCTCCAGTGTGGGTCCTCCCTGACTGTGAGACGGCTGGGGAACAGGGGTTGTTGAGTCTGCGGGAAGCCTTGGCTGGGCCAAAGAGAGGGGTCTATCTTCTGCACAAAACCCAGCCACTCTCGCCAGATGCAGTCAGGCTACAAAGGGAAGTTGTGCTCCCTCTTTAGAGGCAGGTGATTCCTGTGAATCCAATGACCCAGATAAGGTGCACGATTTAGCGGGTAAGGCAACTCACCGTCCTCTCTTTGTGGTCCTTGCCGTTTGCACCGTGCGCAATGCAGGGTGCAGTCAGCCCGCAAGTTACAGGCGAGAGGCTCTCCAGTTATTGTCAGTTAAACAGGAGATGCAAACTCCGAGCTAGTTAATGAGCTGCGGTCTACCATGCTCACGATTCGGTCGGTGCATGTCTCTCCTTCCTGCTATCACAGTCTTTGCCAGCTGCCATCATGACCACCAACCAGTCCCCTCATCTTGATTGCGACGAGTGCCGGTTCATGTTTTCTGTTGCTGGACATGGATGCCCAGCTTGCTTCTGGGTTCTTAATTTTTGATCAGGGACAGCTCCTTGACTAATTATTTTGGCATAATGAGGGAGAGGACAGTCCGAGTTGTGAAAGGCCCCCCAAGCTTTTAGAAGGAAGCTGCAAATTAAAACACGAGGTTTGGTAAACAGGATGCTAACTGGATTCATATGAAAATGATGAATTCTGATAAAAAATAGCAAAATACACCGTTGTAAGATGGAGGCCAATAGAACCCAACAACGTTGTCATGTTCCGCTGGTGATCTGATATTTGAAAGTATTGAATAACAGGAAGAGTCTATTCTTGGCCATGAAGGTACAAGACTTATGCAAAACAGAACTTTAAAACCAGAAGGACTTGATATGAGTGGATTATGTAAATCATTCCTATTCTGAATTTCATAACTCTCTGCTCCTGGATCTTTGATCTTTGATCTTGTTTGTCTCTCTTTTTTTTTTTTTTGAGCGGAGTTCTCGCTCTCTCGTCCAGGGTGGAGGTGCAGTTGGGCCGGATCTTCGGCTCACTGCAAGTTTCCGCCTCGCGGTTTCACGCCATTCCCTCCTGCCCTCAGCCTTATCCGAGTAGCTGGACTAAGGTGCCACCACCTCAGCCCGCCTAGTTTTTTTGGTATTTTAGTAGAGATGGGGTTTCATGTTGGTTTAGCCAGGATGGTTCTTGATCTCCTGACCTCATGATCCACGCCACTCAGCCTCCAAAGGTGCTGGCATTACAGGCGTGAGTCACACAGCGCCCGCCTCTCTTTTTTGTAGGACGAGTCTCACTTCTGCCACCAGGCTTGGAGGTGCGTGTGGTGTGATTTCGGCTCACTGAACCTCCACCTCCCAGGTTCAAGCAATTCTCCTGCCCTCAGTCTCCTGAGTGGCTGGAACTACAGGTGTGAACCACCATGCCTCTCACTTTCTCTCTCTTTCTTTTTTTCTGTTCTTTTTTTTTTTAAGTAGAAGGAATCCCAGGCGTGGGTGGCTCACACCTGTAATCGCCAGCCACTTTGGGCGCAAGCAAGGCACGTGGAATGGATTCACCAGGTCAACGGGTTCGAAAAGACAACCTGGCCACATATAGTGAAACTCGTCTCTACTAAAACATAAAACAATGCTGGGTTGGTGGCAGGACTGCCTATCAATCCCAGCTGCTTGGGAGGCTGGAAGCAGGAGAATCATTGAAGCTTGGAGGCAGAGGTTGCAGTGAGCCGAGATCGCGCCACTGCACTCCAGCCTGGTGACTGAGACTGTCTCGAAAAGAAAATAAAAAAAAGACACAGAATCTGCGTCTGCAGCCTCGGCTGGTGTGCAGCGGTGCAGTCACGGCTGACCACCACAGCCTCCAACTGCTGGGCTCAGGCCACCATCCTCTTGCCTGTGTCCTGAGTAGCTGTGACCACAGGCGCACACCACCACATCCAGTTATTTTTTGTTGTTTCTTACTTTTAGAGACAGGGTCTGGCTGTGTCTCCCACACTAACGAATGTAAAATCTTAAATGGTGCCTGGTGCAGAGTAAGCTGTGTGTTGGGTGGGGCATAGCTTACAGGTCACAGTGACAGTTTCACTTCTGTGCATGCCCTCAAGAACTCATTGTTGCATACAGGCGGCTGCTGGCAAATACTGAAGAGTTGTGGGGAGAAAGGAAGGGGTCTGACGGTGAAGGTGGGTACGTGAGCAGGGGACTTTTAATGGCCCCTCTGCTGGCTCCCTCCCCGCCACCACCTGCCCACCTCCCTGGCCTTGGCTGCAGGCTACGGTGCCCTTTGACCTCAGAGAGGTCTGTCCTGTGTGTCTCACTGAGCAGGAACAGACTGTCCCAGAAGCCCTTCAGCTCAGAAATGGGTAAGCATTGGTGGTAGGGATGGTGCCCATCTGAGCAGACGCAACTCGGTGCCGTGTGGGTGTCTCTCCTGGGGCAGCTTTGAGACTGACCCCCAAACAGAGGGCTCAGAAAACATGTTTTTCTTTTTTTCTTTTCTTCTGGGTTCTTAATTTTTGATCAGGGACAGCTCCTTGACTAATTATTTGGCAGTAATGAGGGAGGACAGTCGAGTTGTGAAAGGCCCCCCAAGCTTTTAGAAGGAAGCTGCAAATTAAAACACGAGGTATTGGTAAACAGGATGCTAACTGGATATATTCTGCCCCCTCCAGCCATGTTTTGGGGTGGTGTGGTGTGTCCTGAGCCCCAACGCAGGTGTCAGGGCTGTGGAGGGGACGTCACTAGGGGGCCTCAGTGGGCCTCTACAGGCCTTGGAGATGGAATCAGCTCCCCGCAAGGCCTCAGGACAGACCTGGCTGGGGAGTGCAGAGAGGCGTCCCTGGTGTGAGGACAACATGGGGCTGCCTCTTCCAGCCGCTCTGAGGGCTTAGTTTAAAATAATCTTAGATCTGGCCGGGCGCGATGGGTCACGCCTTTAATTCCAGCCCTTTGAGAGGCCAACGCCAGCAGATGGCTTGAGCCCAGGAGTTCGAGACCAGCCTGGGCAACATGGTAAAACCCCGTCTCTACAAAAACTACAAAAATTAGCCAGGCATGGTGGCGCATGCCTGTAATCTCAGCCACTCAGGAAGCTGAGATAGGAGG